CATCAACGATAAGGCAATGTATCATCTTCATCATGTGTAAAGTAACTGAACCAATAATCGAAGGCCTCTAACATTAGCTGAGACCCAGTGGAATGCCTCCCAACATTAGCTGAGATCCAATTCAAGGCCTCCAAACATTAACTGAGACCCAGTGGAATGCCTCCAAACATTAGCTGAGACACACTGGAATGCCTCCAAACATTAGCTGAGACCCAGTGGAATGCTTCCAAACATTAGCTGAGACACAGTGGAATGCCTCCAAACATTAGCTGAGACCCAGTGGAATGCCTCCAAACATTAGCTGAGACACAGTAGAATGCCTCCAAACATTAGCTGAGATCCCATTCAAGGCCTCCAAACATTAGCTGAGACCCAGTGGAATGCCTCCAAACATTACATGAGACCCAGTGGAATGCCTCCAAACATTAGCTGAGATCAAATTCAAGGCCTCCAAACATTAGCTGAGACCCAGTGGAATGCCTCCCGACATAAGCTGAGATCCAATGGAAAGCCTCTTAACTAGCCGAGACCCAACACGCTAAATAATTCCTCTCGAGTGGCAAAGTTCCAGGTGGTGAATTGATCACCTATAAAATAAACAAATAAGGCGGAACAGCTCTGACTCAAAGGCTTCAGTAGATTTTCCTACTTATGTGGCAGGGAGAGATGATTCCATAGGCTGCCAAGGATCGAACAGTCACTCCTACGACATCATCCCTTGGACATCATTGCTCTCGATTAGACGCACGATACTGGTTAGACACTTGCTAACCAGTCTTAACTTAAGACACATATGGAGAAGAGTTTCCTGCCAGAAAATCAATGTGGATCTTGTTGAGATGGTGTTTGTAGACAGGCAGCTACATTAAAAATGCAAAGAACAGAATTTTGACCTGTTCTAAACCTATGTAAACCTGACCAATTCCATAATGGTATGCAGGTTTATTGTTCAGGAAAATGAGAAGACGTCTAGACAACTTCCTGTGTCAAATGGCGTCACAAACGGTTGCTTCATGGTTCCTGCACCTTCAAACCTCAGGATTTTCCTTCGAGCTCACTGATACCTTCAAAGATGGACATCTTGGCATTGGTCTGAAATACGTGAACTGATGGTGAGCTATTCAAACTCAAGAGGCTACATGCCAAAATCAAAGGTCGTCACAGATAGGGCCAGGTACTTCCTGTCTGCCGACGATTGTTCCTTAAATGCTTTACCAGACGCGGATATGGAACGCAAAGCTGCTAATTTCACCAGTGCCTGCTAATACTTCGGTCTCGTCCATCAGTACAAAAAACACTGAGGTCCTTTACCATGTTTTTCCCAAAGTTCAAGTATATGGTGAATGGCTTACAGAAGTTATCATCTTCTCATACCTTGAAAGCACACTGTTTTCAAGGGCTACCATCGATAATGAGTTGAGAACATTCGAATTGAAAAAAAAAAAACTTTAAGAAGGCATCGACCAGGAGGACAGATATCAGAACTCAAACTAAAATAAAATCATACAAGACGACTTTGCTGCCTACGCTTCCATGTGAAATCTGGACGGTCTATCAACGCCATGCAAGAAATTTGAACCACTGTCATGCGAACATCATAAGACAAATTCTCCATATCAATCAAAGTAGGTAGAATTAATACTTGAAAGAAAACCTAAAAACCTCACATAGACCTGGACACATGTGAAGACTCGGCAAGTGATCGATTATCGTGGCTCGACATAGACCTGGACACATGTGAAGACTCGGCAAGTGATCGAGTACCGGCATCGTGGCTCGACATAGACCTGAACACATGTGAAGACTCGGCAAGTGATCGAGTACCGGTATCGTGGCTCGACATAGACCTGGACACATGTGAAGACTCGGCAAGTGATCGAGTATCGTGGTGTTTACCTTGACACAAAGGCTCTGTACAACATACAGCCAACAAAACAGCAGCAGCAGAACACAAAATGTATGCCAGAAAAGCCTGGATTAACTTTGTACCTGGAGATGTCCAATCAAGCCCTGCACTTACTTACCAGAATCGGTCTCATCGGCCATCTGTGCATTCACAGCCGAATTCAGAACTAGTACGAATACGATTATTAATGATCATAATCGATTTCGATGGACTAACTTTTGGTCAATTCGGAAGCATGCTTTTAAGTTGCGTGTTTTTTAAAATATAACACAACTAGAATAAATGACCCGATGTTATCGGGATAATAATGGTAGATGCTTTGCGATAATTTCAAATTGCAATTGCAAAAACTCATCACAATTCATAACTTTAAAAATGTAACGATATTTATATTTCTAACATCATTACGTTTTGAGAAGTATTTATCTGCTAAATATTATACGCCTACCCTAATAACTTTCACGCTCCTAAACTATTTTTGTCCCCCTCTAAACATGACTTTAAATTACACGGTCTAAATTATCGCTAATTATATCACTCTTGTCACTAAAGAAGTTAATTGAGAGACAATTACTACATTAGAGAAATATTTAAGATTTACCCCTTTTCGTGCCCTTGAATTACAACCTTTTTTCCTCTTCAATTTGTTTTCAAATCTTACTTTAAGTTTACACCAAAAACTCTATATTATATGATATAAAATATTTTATATTATAGGAATTCGATATATACTGGCATCTTTAGCAATATACGCAGCTGAAATGTGTGTGTGTTTTATTAACAATTTAAAAATTTATTAATTTTACTTTAAAGAAGGGAAAATACATTATCAGTTTTGTCACGCATGGTTATTAAATTTCAAGAAACCTAAGAGTTTTGGAGAAATAGGCTATTAGCACTATGACGTCATTAGCGTGATTATGTAGAACAAATTAATTAACAATTTTATTTTGAAATATTAACAACACACTAAAAGACGCACTTAAAACGACTGATGCTTGGGTTTTCCCGATAAAAGAGATTACGAGGTAATTCTTTGATCATGATTTTTTAATTTTAATTTTTTTGTATATCTTTTAAACGCATATAAAATGCTTAAAATAGTTCCATATTTGATACTTTATATGTATTTATAATTTATAATAATAATACTTAAACGTTTACTAACATAGAAACAGATTTAAAATATTCTTTGCGTATTTAAATTTATTCGATTTCCGTAAAATAATAGAAAATAACTATGATTGTTTTTAGGAATTCGAACGCACTTAAATCTTTTCTGCTCTTTGGAGTTACGTCAGTACAGCTCATTCGTATATATGTTATTTAATTCTTGATAGTCTACAAAACTTATTTAGGGCATACATAGTATGTTAAGATTTTAGTATGTTAAGGCGCTACTGTTTTTTGAGTGTTCCATGACTTCCTAAAAGACGAGATACGACTAGTTTTGCTCCATTTTTTTAAAATCCTAATTTTAGGTTGGTAAATTATCTAGGCCAGGCACAGTTATTTCACGTTATTTTGGAAATTAAATCAACCTATTTAAAAGCATAGGAAATTATTTTTAATGTAACTTAGATCCGACAAGAGGTTGTTAATAAGTATATCAAGAGAGTTATCAAAGTGAAACCTACATGTTCATAGTTGCTTGAGAAATAGTGGCCTCCCTTGCTATCTGTGCGTCTGGATGGTGTGCCGAAACAAACGGTACTGGATGGTGTGCTGAAACTAACGGTACTGGATGGTGTGCTGAAACCAACGGTACTGGATGGTGTGCTGAAACCAACGGTACTGGATGATGTGCTGAAACCAACGGTACTGGATGATGTGCTGAAACCAACGGTACTGGATGGTGTGCTAAATCCCACGGCAGCGGCGGTTCCAGCAGAGGGTGGAGAAATCCATGGTCTGTGAAACTGGTGCGTCCCGGCGGGTGCTCCGAGGTTCTCGCACGAATCATTTCCAAGCTTCGACGGGGAAGATCTCGTCCTGGGGATGACGTTTTTGGGCGGGACTCTCACGGTGACGTCACTTGATCTCCTGGCAAACTCTGCCTTGCTGTGATGCATCGCTGTCAATGAAAGTGTCATGTCATCTTGGGATAGGAAGAGAAATTCAGGTTCCCCTTCTCTGTTAATATCATGTAGACCTTGCACATGAATTACACTTTTTGCCGAATCTACACCTTTTGCAGGAGCTACACTCGAAGAAGCCTGATTAACGGAATAATTTCGCTCATCTTCGCTGAGTCCATTTCGCGAGTCACCTTTGTGCCGATACACATATGTTTCCCTTTCTGGGTGAAATTCAAGAAGCTCGTTTCCGCTAGTGTTGTTCGCTTGATTGTTTGAAGAGTAGTTCTCCTCTGGGATTGGAAGCGATCCTGCTAAAACCTGAATGGATGCGCCGTCATGTGATGTTCTACTTCCCTTAGTGCCGTCATGTGATGTTCTACTTCCCTTAGTGCCGTCATGTGAGGTTTTAATTCCTTCAGTGCCGTCATATGACTTTCTACTTCCTTTAGTGCCGTCATGTGATGTTCTACTTCCCTTAGTGCCGTCATGTGAGGTTTTAATTCCCTCAGTGCCGTCATATGACTTTCTAAATCCCCCAGCGCCGTCACTGCGCTCTCCAGATGTAGTTTTTAACGCTTCTTTTCTAGATAACATAGATATCACTTTTACTGGACTCATCAGGTCGGGCTTAGCGTCAACTACATTTTTGGTGGGTACCGCCTCATCGTCGTCGTCGTCGTCATCACCAAATATATGAACAACATCATCATCGGGTTCTTTCTGTTTGATGTTTCCAGACATTGTTTGTTTTTCTTCACCGTCACCGAGTCCATCGACTTCGTCACCACTCTCTCCAGAGTTGTCAGATGTCGGTGTTTGTCTCATTGCGTTCATTGCCCGCCTGTTGCGATGTGGTTCTCTCTTGTGTTGCGACCCTTTCGGGTTTCTACCTTTACTTGTAGGATTCATTTGTCTTCTTGCACAGATTTCTTCTGCAGGTGTGTTCATGAGACCAGTGTCATGTTTCATGAGAACTTTCCTTTTGCCCCTAATGTCACCACTGACATTTAATTGTTCTCCCTTATTGGCACGCATCATTGAACGTGAAGTTTCGATTCCTAGCAAATTACTTTTCCTGTTTTGTGGATTTTTGTTGAAAGGCTTAATGGATTCGTGTTGATTGGAAGCAGTATACTGATGGCCATGCACTTTAACAATGTCGCATTCTGCTCTGGCTTTTGAAGGCTTTCTATCATTATACAAAACCTGGTTAGAACTAACATTTTGAATTTCACTTGTATGAGAAAGATCGCTCCTTGTATTTATTGAATTGAACTGGGCTTGTGTTTGTTTGGTACTTGGGCTGTGCTGGTCGAAACTATCACAATTACACGCCTCGTTTGTGTCAGTTTTTGACACGTGTCTTTTCTCAGTTACTTCACTATTTTGGTGATCATTTTCAGAGTTAACGCTTGTGAGGTCTCTTGTTGATGAGTTGATAAGATCTCTTGTTGGTGAGTTGATCTGATCTCTTTTTGATGAATTGATTTTCTCTTTTGAGCAATCTTTCCGAAGTCTTCCAGTTATTTTGGCATGTTTATTATTTTGGTTGGCTCCACTTCCGTCTGTCTCATCCCAACGGCCTTGACCCCTCCTCTGAACGCCCCCTGGAACACAATCATATACGTTTCTTCCATCGTCGTCGTCGTTGCTCCAATTATCGTATTCGTCCATATCATCGCAGCTCATGTCAGAGCCCGAGAGCTCGTCTTGGGAGATGAAACGGACATTGGTGTCAGCCCGGGTATTAACAACACCAGAATTATCTGCCCGAAACTGTGTTCCTTGGCCACTGGTCACTCTGTTAAATCCTCTGTTATTGTTGAGATCGTTTCGTCTTTGCATGGCAGCATACTCTAAGCCCTTTCGTCCTTGACCTTCATTAAATTGATCAGAGTCCTCATCAAAATGGAGTTCATCATTATCGTTGGTGTCCAACACCTCCAGCCATCCTACACTTGCTTTCACGCGATTTTCTCGCGGAGTTTTCATCACTCCAACTTCCGGTTTGGGTATTCTGTTTCCTCTACTACTGCCAGAGTCGTGCTCGTCCATGTAAGTGACGTTCTGACAATTTCCACCTGCGCGCTGGTTGCTAGGGGCCATGGTTCTTGTGTCAAAGGTTGTGTTGGTCGGTGCCCATACAACGTCGCTGTGTCCCATATACGACATTTGTGACGTAATCCTTTGATGTGCGTAACCTTCATGAACTTGTTGCCTCGAATCACGTCCGGAATTACCATACTGATAGACGCTGGAATATTGCAATCCTTGTTGGCCTTCGTTGTTCCAATGACTGGATTTCTGACCACTGACAGATCCATAGTTGTAGCGATGTTGCTCAGAATAGTCCATGTCTTCATCCATATCCATTGGATCATCAAAGCCATCCACCTCATCACATCTACTTACATCTGGAAATATGAAAATATCCGGCTCCCTACTATTCCGCTTTTCCATGGCACTTTTATTTTCCCTTCGGGATTCCGATGAATTTTCCCGTCTTCGTGCGGGATCTGTAGCTCTGCTATGACGAAGAGTGTCCCGCTCTTTTCCCCGCTGGTGGGAGATTTCGTCCGATTGATATTTCCCATTCTGAAGCTCTGTTTTCATTGTGGTATCTCTTCTTGAAGATAACTGTTGATATTTTGTCGTTTCATAATCAGCCAGGTTGATACACGAAGCGCTCTTGTTGACAGAATGGGACACATAGCTCATTGCGTTTTCTCTGTTTCGTTTGGGAGAAGTCCTGGGCTTATCGTCTCTTGGACTTTCCAAAAGACGAACACAATCGTTTTGTGTACTAGATGTGTTCGATGGTTGATTTGGAACTTTCTCTAGAAATCCAGGCGTTGGACTTTGCCGAGAGCTCAATGTATGCCTTGCAAGAGGGAACCCCTCTTGAGAAGTTGCGACTCGTCTGTTTAAAGGAGACCTTTGAGTGCTAACGTCATAAGCTCTCTGACCATGACGTGGAGGTGTGTGGGAGAATGAAGCACTTCTAATCCCTGGTTGCGTCCAACTCTGACTGTCAAATTGATGCGAAAACCCAACAGATAGCCCCTCATGTCTGGGATCAGATTTCAATCTCTTCGGTGACTTCAGGGTTGACAGCTGCTCGGTGAAGACGTTGCCTGGTGATCCCTGTGAGTTATTGGACACCTCGCGTCTGGTCTCTGAGTTTACGGAACTGTTAAGTGAAAGACTCGAGTTGGGTGACGTGGTCGAAAAGCTGTCTGAGTCCGAGGACAAATGGCGCTTCATCTTGCCCTTGGGTGGCTGCTGTAAGGTGAGGACTGGAATACTTTCATATTCATCCACTTGTTCAATCTGCTTGACTAGTTTGGTTGTAGGTTTTGTTGTATGTTTGGTTGTAGGTTTGGTTTTAAGTTTTGTTGTAGGTTTTGTTGTAGGTTTGGTTGTAGGTTTTGTTGTAGGTTTGGTTTTAAGTTTGGTTGTAGGTTTTGTTGTAGGTTTGGTTTTAAGTTTGGTTGTAGGTTTTGTTGTAGGTAGTTTTTGTTTTAATGAGAAAAGAAAAGGAAAAAAAAAAGTTTTAAAGTAATTTTAAATTTTAATTACTTCTTTAAAAAAAAAAATTAATTAAGTTTTCTTAACATAGTTAAATAGAGGTGAAAAAATCTAAAAACCTTTTTAATTGATATAATATTTAATAACTGTAAACAATAAAAATAATTCATTTGTTATTGATTGCCGATCTCATTCTTACATGTTTGTTTGCCGTCTGCTTGATACATGGCTGACTTGCGGATCATTTTTGGCTCAGAGACGTCACAGGCATCATCGAAAAACTTTTTCTTTTTTCCGGACATGGCGACAGCCGTGGTCATGAGGGTAGATGGGCTGCTGGGAGGGCAAGACTTTGGGGCGCGTCTGATCACCACCATTGGACGGGCTACGGCGGATTGTTCTGGCATGTCTTGATGTGAGGGGAAATGTGGGTGTGAGTCGGGGTATATTGGTGAGGGTGCTAAGAAGGGTGAGTGCGGGGGCTGTGTCGGGGCGTGGGCTAAACGAGGATGTGGAGTTTGGTGAAATGGTGGTGATGGGTGGATGGTTTGGCGTGGGTTTGTTGACAGATATGAAGGTGGGGAGAGATGGGTGGCTGGGTTAGGATTGGTTTGGCGTGGGTTCGGTGGCAGATATGAAGGTGGGGATAGATGGGTGGCTGGGTTAGGATTGAGCGGTAGATGTGTCGATGGCGATGAGCGAATATTAAGGCGAGGATTTGAGGCTGAATGTGACGTTGGTGATGGCTGAAGAGCAATGCGTGGGTGGCGTGAAGGTGGGGGCTGGGGTTGTTGAATGTTTTTAGGCGAGATCGAATACGGTGGTGTGTGTTGGTCTAGCTGGGAATTTTGAGGTGAGCGTGAATTGGACTGAGTCTGTGAATTTCTGGATGACGTATTTGTTGGTGATCCGTTCATCGCGTCTAATCTCAAACCCGAGGATCGTGCTCTGCTGTGTCTGCTGTGCCTGTGGTTAGGCCCCTGTCGGTTGAATGTGAGTCCTGTCTCTTGTTGGCTGTACTGACTGCCGCAGGATCTTTGTAGGACTCTCTGGTAAACTGTGTTGTCAGTAAAGTCAAAGCTAAAACACTGAAGTGCATTTCTGGGCGTGTGCTCTGGTGAACTTTTGAAAGGCATTGGTGATTTCTGTTTTGAAAAAAAGGAAAATACTATGTGTGAGAAAGATAGGCTTTGAAATAAAATTTAAGACATATATTTTGTGATTTTTTTTTTCCATTCATATATTTTTATTTACACTATTTTTATAAGGAGCCTGAAGCGTCCAGGCGACATTTGAAAAGTCTTTTTTCTTATAAGCGTTAAGTTTTGCAGGATTGTTCAGAAATGTGTCTTTGATTGTATCACTGTACAAGACTAAATCTACTACAATCCTAACATGGAATTTTAGCTCCTTTTTGGGGTAAAATTATATAATCGTTGAGAAATTGCAAAGGATGCAAATAAAAGTTTCAAAGTAAGTCAGTTACAAAGAGACAAAAGATGACCTGGTCAGATTTGCTTATTTAGTCACTGTTGATTTTATTTAAAAGGTAGTGACGGCTCTGGTCAAGTGGTGGCAATTACTAGAACATTACTTCTTTAAAACTAATTACATTTTTTTATTTAAAAAAAGACCCTAACCTCAATACGTTAGAACCATCGAATACAAACCACAACCTGACTTCAACTTTAGAACCATGGACAGCAAAGCACAACCTGGTCAAAAAACGTTAGAAAAATTGACACCAAAGCAAAGCCCGACCTCAAAAAATTAGAACCATTGACACCAAATCACAACCTGACCTTAAAACGGTAGAACCATTGACAACAAAGCACAACCTGACCCAACAATGTTAGAACCATTGACAACAGAGCACAACCTGACTTAACAATGTTAGAACCATTGAGCAGAGCTTGACCTTAAAACTTTACGGCCATTGATAACAAAGCACAACCTGACTTAAAAACGTTAGAGCCATTGAGAATAAAGCACAACCTGACTTCAAAACTTTAGAAGCATAGACACCAAAGCACATCTTGGCCTCAAAACGTTAGAAGCATAGACACCAAAGCACATCATGACCTCGAAACGTTAGAAGCATAGACACCAAATCACATCTTGGCCTCATAACGTTAGAAGCATAGACACCAAAGCACATCATGGCCTCATAACGTTAGAAGCATAGACACCAAAGCACATTATGGCCTCATAACGTTAGAAACATAGACACCAAAGCACATCGTGACCTCAAAACGTTTGAAGCATAGACACCAAAGCACATCATGGCCTCAAAACGTTAGAAGCATAGACACCAAAGCACATCATGGCCTCAAAACGTTAGAAGCATAGATACCAAAGGACATCATGGCCTCAAAACGTTAGAAGCATAGACACCAAAACACATCATGGCCTCAAAACGTTAGAAGCATAGACACCAAAGCATATCATGGTCTCAAAACGTTAGAAGCATAGACACCAAAGCACATCATGGCCTTAAAACGTTAGAAGCATAGACACCAAAGCACATCATAGTCTCAAAAGGTTAGAAGCATAGACACCAAAGCACATCATGGCCTGAAAACGTTAGAAGCATAGACACAAAAGCACATCATGACCTCAAAACGTTAGAAGCATAGACACCAAAGCACATCATGGCCTGAAAACTTTAGAGGCATAGACACCAAAGCACATCATGACCTCAAAACGTTAGAAGCATAGACACCAAAGCACATCATGGCCTCAAAATGTTAGAAGCATAGACACCAAAGCACATCATGGTCTCAAAACGTTAGAAGCTTAGACACCAAAGCACATCATGGCCTCAAAACGTTAGAAGCATAGACACCAAAGCACATCATGGCCTCAAAACGTTAGAAGCATAGACACCAAAGCACATCATGGCCTCAAAACGTTAGAAGCATAGACACCAAAGCAAAACCTAACCTCAAAACTTTAGAACCATTGACACCAAAGCAAAACCTGACCTCAAAACTTTAGAACCATTGACACCAAAGCACATCATGGCCTCAAAACGTTAGAAGCATAGACACCAAAGCAGAACCTGACCTCAAAACTTTAAAACCATTGACACCAAAGCACATAATGTCCTCAAAACATTAGAACCATTGACACCAAAGCACATCATGGCATCAAAAAGTTAGAAGCATAGACACCAAAGCAAAACCTAACCTCAAAACTTTAGAACCATTTACACCAAATCACAATCTGACCACAAAACTTTAGAACCATTGACACCAAAGCATAAGGCTACACTTTTACATAATTATCTGAACGAAATACCAGCATCAAGAAACTTCTTAATACAGATAATCTGTCGTACAAGTAACTTCTAAGTACAGATATAGATGTGTACAAGTACGTCTAGCTCTGGGTACCTTTTGTACAAATGGTCTTTCAAATAAAGATGGATGACAATGATAGAGTCTCGATTGTCAATGCGAAGTTTGCAACAATAGATTTGTTTTCGGTTTGTAAAACTGTGTAGCTTTTTTTGTGCAACGTAAACATGGCGGTGGTGTCGTAAATTGAAAGAAATGAAATCAGTTAGAATGTTTGACCAGAATTCGCCAAACTCTTTTATTCCGCTTCTGCATACGTTATGTGTTTCATTTTTCTCCCGTATATCAACCAGACAGACACTTAAGCCTTGTCTAGTGTGTAGACAAACAACTCCATAAATCTGTCAAGCCGCAAGTAATTTCTGATACTCTCAGACCCATTAAAACTACTTTTCTTATCTCTTCCATTATGCGCGCTATTAGCAAATACGACGTTTAGCTGAATGCGAAATTGGCCCATGAATACAA